TACACATAAAAATAAATAAATAAATAAATTCAAATCTTAAAGTGAGAGTAGTGGTGCAACTTGTGCTGTAACCCCAACATTCTATTGCTTCTCACCTTTTGGCTAAGATCAAGTGTAATATCTGTTCTTATCAGTAATACCAGCATTATCACTTGGGAGGCTGAGGCAGGAGGATCATTGTGAATTCAAGAACAGCCTGGGCTACAACATGAGCTCAAGGCCAGCTTGAACTGCTTAGGAAGACCCTGTCTCAAAAAAATCAAAAATTAAAAATTAATGGGCCAAGGATATAGCTCAGCAGCATAAGCACTTGCTTGGCAAGTGCAAGGTCCTGAGGTCGTTCCCCTGTACTGCAAAAATACATAAACAATGAAAATAAATAAATAATCAAATCCTGGGATACCTTCTCTACCTAAAACCACCCACAGCAGAAAATCCAAGCTTTACTTCGGCTTACTGAGACTCCTTCCTGTCTTTCTTCCCCATTCTTATGGTGGCCTCCTTTCAATTATTTTTGGAGACAGTCTTGCTGTGTGGCTCAGGCTGGTCTTGAACTCATGGCAATCCTGCCTCAGAGTCAGTCTCCCAAGTGTGGGGACTGCAACCAGGTACACCACACCCCAGCCTATCTTTTCATTTCCTTGAACACAAAAAACTCTTCCAGGCTTCACCTCTGGTCTATTATTCCTTTGTAGGGCTGGCTCCTTACTATCTCCCAAAGTTCGGAGGACCTTTTCAGAGGCCCTAGTCACTCCCTCTCTTCCTACGTTCCCCCTCACAGAATCATCTCTACCTACCACAGTCTTGATTGTTTAACTCAAGTTCTTTGGTTTGTTTTGTTCAGTTTTTTAAAAATTTATTTTATTAGTACATTTTAGATATACATAATAACACTCATCAAAGGGAACCTGTACCTGATATGTCTTGCTTTTCTCCCCATTCCCCTCCCCTTGTTTCAACTCTTCTTTTCCTCCTCATTTACAAAAATCTTTGCTTCCATTTCTTCCTTATTTTTCTTGTTCCTTCTTTCCTTTCCCCCTCCCGTGTTCCCATTCTCATTTCAACATTTTATTGCCATTTCCTAATATCTATCACATATTTTGGCCTTTATCACTTATTTGGTCATTTTTCGGTTCTCAAACCAGAGAAAATATGACATTTAAACATCTGTATATAATTTATTCCACTTAATAGTACCATCTTAAGGTGCATACATTTATTTACTGAGGAATGTCTCAAATACCTTTCTTTATGGTTGAATAGTACTCCATTGCATTTAAAAAAAAACAACCCACATTCTTTATCCATTCATCAGTTGATGGGCATTTGGGCTATTTCCTACTGGACTGTTAGCTATTACAAACTGTGCTGCTATAAACATATGTATATATTGCTGTGGAATGATGCTTTTAATTCTTACAGGAAAATATCAAGAACAAACAGCTGGGTCAAACAGAACCTCTAGTCCTAGTTTTGTGAGGATTCTCTACACTGATTTACACAGTGGTTGCACCAGTCTACACTCACACCAACCATAGAGAAGGGTTCTTTTCTCCAGTATTTGTTATTGATTGATTTCTGGACAACAGCCATTCTTTCTGGACTGAGACAGAATCTCAGTGTTGTTTTAACTTGCATCTCTTGAATGAACAGGGATGTTGAAGATCTTTCAATATTATTTATTGGCTGCTTCTACTTCTTCATCTGAAAAGTGTCCATTTATTTCAGAAGCCCATTGTTGGGCTGGGTCTTTAAATTTGGGGGATCTCATCTTTTTGAGTTCTACATACTCTAGATATTTATCCTTTGTCTGAGAAACAGATGGCAATTTTTCCCCTACACTGTGGGTTGTCTCTTTACCCAGTTGGTGGTTTCTTTCCCTGTGCAAAAGCTTTTTAATGAGATGATATCCCAGTTGATTCGTTGTGATAGTTCCTGTGTGATCAGAGTTGTGTTCCTAAAGCCTTTGCCTACACCAGTCTCTTTAAGAGTTCTACCTATTCTCTCTTCCAGCAGATTTAGTGTTTTAATAGTCAGATCTTTGATCCATTTCAATTTGAGAGTTTAGTGCATGACACAATGGGTCTAGTTTTAATCTTCACCATGGGGAAAGCCAATTCTGTTTTTGTTTCTTTTTAAGGCAAGGGCTTGCTATGTAGTTCAGGCTAGCCTTGAACTCACAGAATGGCCTCAAATTTGTATCAATCCTCTTGCTTCAGCTTCCTAAATGCTGGGATTATAGATGCACACCATCACACATGCATTATTATTTTTTTAAAATATTTCTGTCTCCAAGGACCAGGAAGAATACAAATCAATTTGTTCACTGTTGTGGTCCCAGTGCCTAGCAAAGAGCATCTTGAATTGATGAAAGAAAAGCACTTACTGCTATTTGTTTCTCAATAAAATAAAAAAGAAAAAAAGAAAAGCAACTGAAGGACTTCAACTATACCTAACTGAAGGGAAAAATCAGAACCTCCTGTCTCCTCTGGATGTCTGCTAACAGTCTAGTCAGTTAAACAACAGAATTGGAAGGCTTCAATAATCTTGCTCATTACTGGGATCCTTCGGAAAGACTCACAACAAGCACAGGAGATGCTGCAACATTTTCTTACCCAAAAGCCCACAACAGCTTCTAATCAGATGTTGTTACCTTGTCAGTAACTACTAAAACCCTGAAATAGGCCATATTATTGTAGGCAGCTTAATTAGATAAAAATATTATAGGTAAGCAGACAAGGCTAGACCCTCAAAGGAGCCAGTATGGAAGACACGATACCTTGTAACTGTGGGAAAGACAGGCAATTCCACTGTGGGCCAGACCTCAGAACAAAAGATTAAACAAATGCACCCACATATCTCCCTAGAGATGGACATCAGGGACTGACATTCTAAACAGGTATCCATCACCTTGAAAAGGCCAACAAGAGTCACTAACCCAACCCCTACAGGAAAAGCTC